AAGTGTATAGCAACTTAATATTTTATAACAGAAAGAGGTCAGCATGTGATAAAATTAAAGAATGCTCCATTGAAAATATTTCCTTGAAATGAGTATAAAATACAATGTTCCTATTATCTACCTACCTACAACTCAAGCATTGACAGGCACACCATTTCTCCAGTTACTACAGCCCATCTCCCAAGACGCCAGGGCTGGCATGTTCTACATACCTTTGATTAAACAGTGTTATTTGATGGGAACGAGGAGACATGTCTCCTCTGTTGCTATGCCTGTTCTCTGTGGCTCTTCTCCTAGACACTGGGCCAGGAGTTAGACAAGCTCATTTTAAATGGTTTATTCCTGATGGTTGCATTAGATAGTCAGGTATGTCTTAACTGATACTTCTGTTATCTTATTGATGTTTTCAGCTGGTTGGTAGCCACCCAGTCACATGGTGGGTAAGCAAGTGGCCAGCAAATAAATAAACAAACAAACAGACAAATAAATTCATGACAATCCAAAAAGATTCTGTGCTGTCAAATAAAACTGGCATACTATTCCTGTGCCTGCAAATGTCAAATTACCTGGAAGGATTGTCAAAGTCAAAACTAATGACCCAGTGCTCCTATTCGAGCAATAGTCTGCACTGTAAGCTGCAACATTGGAACTGTTTCTACACTCTTTTCTAGGTCATGAAAAAACTGAAGCAAGAGTATATGCCTATATTGCAGTTGAATTGAAATTTAGGATGTAAAGATATCAATTTTGGGTCCTACCTATCTGCCTGCAGTCACTGAGGAAAAGATATTGGCGCAGTTCTACTTTGTGTTGCTAATGTTGTCCACAGTAAGGAAGGAGCAAAACAATTGAAAGTTGTCTCATAGAAAACACAGATAAACCGTGTCAACCTTGCAGAAGCAAGGCAAGCTTACAGATACCTCCAAAATGATTGTAAAGGCATCCTGATAATAAAGTAAGAAAATAAAAACTTCATTTTCTTAAAAGAAAACTTTTGAAAAATGAAGGGCAGGTTTCAGCAAAGGTCTTCCTCTTCTAACCATTCTGCTCATTTGTGTGTTCATTGCTGAAATCCAAATACTGTGTGTCAGGAATAAAGATTGCTTTTTTAAATTAACAACCTATTATGTTCCTATGAGTCTTACTATGCAAATAAAGTATTTATTTACAATGTTGATAATATTACAGTTGGAAGTAATAAGAATCAAAATTGGATTTAGTGCTGGAAACACTATCAGTTTTTAAAATAAGCATTTTAATGCTTATGTTGGTTTGTCCTACATCTATCTGATGAAATAGCTATTCTCAATAAAATAAGAGTTACCGGAATGCACTCTTCCAAATGGCTGAAATGGAACTATGCCTGGATATGGTTTTGCTTCATATTTTGTATTTATACATAGCCTTTTATCAAGAATTAATGAATTAATTTATAGGTTAAGTATATCCATCTTTATAGAAAAACACATCATTTTCTTGGTGAAATTGTTACATTATTAAATTCATACTACAATGAATGAACATTGACTTCATTACATTATTGAATTAATGGTTGAATTCTTTCATTCTTAAAATAAACAATTCTTAAAAGTAAAATCAGTAAACAAATAATTTTTAATCAGATCACAAGTGTACATTTATTTCCTTTGTGCTATCAAAATATTATGGTAGGATGATTTTTTTTTTAAAAAAAAAATTACATTAATCTGCATCAGAAACAAATCATTTTGTCTCCAGAGTTCCTTTGCTAAGAAACTTTTTTTTTTCTGCTAGGCTTGTAAGGGGGGAAAAAACCCTATTATTACATTATTAACTGGCATACTTTGACAATAGGAGAATTCAGCCATTAATAAAATGATGTAATGAAACAGCCAGGCTAACCCCTATGGTGCAGAATCGTTTGGACATTGTTTTATTTACTGTTGACTGAATACAGTGTATATATACATTTATTTCTATTCTACTAAGAAAACTACAATAGTGAAACAAGATCTTGTATGCTTTTGTGTATCTCCCTTTACTACCCCTGATCTAATAGCTAGTTTTTTTCCCCATAACAACATAAATCACTCTTCCAAATAGTGCTTGATGTAGCTCGAAGCAGCTAAGGCTGCACCACACACAGAAATTCCTACTCTGGCATATTGAATCCTGGTCAGTTTTTATTTATAGCTGCTACTAATGTTGAAGTATATTATTGCATTCACCTGTATTAGGTAAATCTAGAAAGAGACAACAATTAACCCGCACTTCCCTGGAAACAAAATATGGATTGTGATATTGGTGTATTCCTTCCCTATCAATCTCTGAATGTGATAGCTGGATCTAGAGCAATAGTATACCCTGAGTAGAGGGCAAAAAGTTAATTTATTTATATGTTGTATTTTCATCAAAGACAAATATGATATTAAAGAGATCACAGGTTTTGTAAATGTATCTGATTAGTCATTTTCAGCTAAATAATCAGATCCTCTGATCCTTCTGTTTTTGCAAGATATAAGTTGAAAGGGATATCATTTTTACAAAAAGTTTTAATAGGGAATTTCTGGTGCATATTTTGAAAATACCAAAGAGAGGTGATTTTGAATGAAGGTAATGCTGATTCCAGGGTAAGCATTACCATCTCTCTCAATTGGCTTTGTGATGTCACATAATCCAATCTAATTGGGACTGGTCTGCCATAGAAGAAGGCTACAGTTGGAGGAGGGAGGATGGTCTATCAGATTAAGCAAGTAACAGAGGCATAGCTGTTGTGGTCCTGAAAACTTTCCAAACTTACACTATAGAATTCAGGAGCAAAATCACCAGTTCTTCTGGGTAAGGGTTCTTTTGTTTCTTTATTTTGTTTTGCCAAAATAAAGGCCAGATGGATAGGTTACTGCCTGCTTTCTGCTCCTTATTCCCTGAATAACTCTGAAACTTCCACAAATAAAATTGATGTTTCAATCCTGCCTCCTCACTTCTGCAGTGTTATCTCATCCCCTGAAGCAGAAAGAAAGAAAGAAAGAAAGAAAGAAAGAAAGAAAGAAAGAAAGAAAGAAAGAAAGGCTGTAAGTTGGTAGAGCTGCTGCAATAAGTGTCAGATGGAATAGTGGGGTTTTTTTCGTTTTTCGTTTTGTTTGTTTTTCTTTTTCTTTTTTTAGAAAAATGGGCAAACCCTGTCTGTAGTCTTTCTAAGCTTGATTTTGGAAACAGGTGTTTTCTGGATTGTGCTGAGCATTGTCAAAAGGTAATGTGATGTTTAAGTTTCAGAAAGAGACCTGCAAGGGACTTTGGCTTATGAAGGATCAAGGTCTTTTTTGGGGGGTAGAAGAAGACTACTACAAGCAAAAAGAGAAAAGCATTCTGCTTCTGTTCAGAAGCACATTCTTTCAGACTAGTAGAAATAATATTTGACTATTAAGACCAGGAATACTTTCTGGATCCCTGAGCATCACATTTCAAGCAATTTCCAATTAATCCATATTTTATTACTGATTTTGTTTAGAATTATAACCATCTACCCTCTTACCACTGTAGCAAGAATATATGGCATTTTTTTTCCTTTTTCCATTAAAATAAAAGGGAAAGTACCCTACTGCTGGCACAAACTAGCAATTGTACTAATAGCACGAACTAGCAATAATCACAACAGCAACAAAGAGCAGGAAGCTCCACATTGCCTGACATATCCATGTTCATGTATTGTTTCTAACACCTGTCATGTCATGCACATTTTTGGTCACCCATTAATCCAATGCAATTCAGCAGGATTGATCAAGCCTTACGAGAGCCACCAGAATAGGGCTCTGCAGAACCTTTCCTTGTTTTAGCTACAGTATCATACATTTCTGGACTGTTGTTTTTATTCACATTTTAATGTGAGTAAGTAAAACAACAGAAAAGTTAAAACAAAGAAAAAGGGAAAGAATGCATACACATATTTTAATAATGTTATACTAGAAATGAAATTAAACCATATGATGATTATAAAAAGACTTTTTAAAAGATTTAAAATTTTTAAAGATAAAAGAAAAACATTATTAAGAAAAAGCATTCTAATGGACCCTTCTCTTTCTTTTTCCCCCATTTTTCTTTCTTTCTTTCTTTTCTAGCTGCTAATAGCTACTTAAATATTTTTATACTATACTTTGGAACCTTTCTGGATTGTTCTTGTTTTGGAATCCAGAGAAAAGGACATTCATACTTCATGGCAACAAGCATGGAAAGGAAACAGACCATGATTATTTCGACATTGTTTCTGCAAAGGGTATGATCAGCAGCCTCTCCTTGAGGTACATTAAAAAAAAATGAGGCACGGTGAATTCTGCTTAGAGATGCATTAACTTTATTAGATAGAATCATAAGGAATATTCAGAAAATGTTAGGCAGAAACAGAAGATGTCACATTTATATGAAGATAAAAATCACTTTGCTAAGTTACACTGTTTTGCTCTTTGGTAACACCCTGTATTAAGGTGCAATTTATAACTACTTTATTATTATTTATGATATGCAAGCCACTTTATAGCAAGCTCGGTAGCAACTTAAATTCATGTATTAAAGATGCAAACACAGGGTTTAATACAATTTACATCTTATAATATTCTTTGTAACAGATTCTCATCGTATCATCTGTTAAGCATTTATTACTAATGCATTTTATAACACACTTTATAATACATTATTTGAGGAAGTAGTTGCATTTAGAGATCATTTCATAAATAAGAATAAAGCATTTATAACTGGCACCTTAATTTAAAGTGTTACCTCCGCATTACTAGAGAGGCACTCACCATCCGTCTCACTTTGCAATTATTCTCAAAAAGCACCTCTTAATAAAAGATATGCTGAGTTCTATTTCCCTTCCTCTCTCATCTGATTAAAAGTTTATTGAGCCATTTTCTTACATCTGCTCTCAGAAGTCTGAGGCTTAGCCACTCTGCATTTTTTTTATCATGCCAAACTTTTATTCAATAACACTTCTGAAAAGATGAGACATGAGAAAGATAACTGCTTACCAGATTGGCTACAGCTGGCTGTTTGGATTCTTTATAAAATTCTATTTTCCGACCAGTGAGAACAAGCCAAGAAGAAGTCCAGTTTTTCCTTAAAAAATATATATATATAAATAAAGCATCAATTACACTCAGGATTTTGTTGTGAAGGCCATAGTTGCTTTTGTAGACTAGCACTCCAAAGTATTTCTGAATCAGAAAAGTAACAGATATATTTACCAAATAGATTGAAGGCAAAAATAAAATAAAATGAAATAAAAATGCGGAAAGGAAAAGCATGGAAAAAGAAGGAGAAGGAGAAAGAGAAATTTCGGCATCTAAAAAGTAAATGTCTGCTTTTTTCACTTTTATCTTCCAATTCTTCTTTAACCTGAATTCACTTTTATCTTCCAATTCTTCTTTAACCTGAATTCATAGTTTTTGAAACTGAATAGTATCAGAAAATGCAGGGAAGAATATTTTCATCTGGGATCTACTGGAAGAAATTCAAACATTTGTAGGATTGCAACTAAGACAAAAGAAAAGGGAAAGGGAAAGAGTCTGTAAGATTGCTAATTCAATATTGGATGTACCTATGACAATATTAACTTTATAATAAAAGCACTGAAGCTGGGCTGGATGATAATATTTAATCTCACCAAACCTGAACTTTTTAGATTAATAAGATACCAGGTTGCTGGTCCATGAAGCAGGGGTTTTTCAGCAGCGAGCAAATTTGTATACATTTATTTATTTATTTGAAAGTCCAGGCTAATCACAAGGTAAACATAACCATAAAAGAATACTAACAATTGAAATATAAAAGAATTAATAAAGCATATAGCAATACCTAATCAGAAAATAAATTTCCAAATGAATAATTCCAGCATTAGCCCCAAGTCTGCCTTACAGCAGTTCCTAGTGAACAGAACTGAGCAACCTTCCTGATAATTTTCAAAGAAAAGTCCACTAGCAAAAAACACACGTTCTCCTCATCTGACTGATCGAAGCAGTTAAGCACTAGAGGGCTTATTAGAAGAGAGTGCCAAGATTGATACATGGGACAATGCAGCAAAACATGAGGAACTAATTCATCCGATCCCTCCAAAGAGGGGCAGAGTTAATTTGTAAAGGGACGTTCTTATAGTTGCCATCCAGAACCGTAGATGGCATGGCATTAAGTCTAGCAAATGAAAATGCCTTTGTGTATGAAACAGAATATTTGAGAAAGAGTTGGCTAGGAGAAAAGGTCTTCTGCATATACTATCCTAACAGTAGTAGGGAGCTTGAGTTCAGTCATTTGGTGAAGCACACACTGCTTGAACTCCAAAGAGACTTTCTCAAACGCTTGTGGGAGCCAGAATTGAGCCTGAGAAGCTACAATTACTTAAGGGTGCTCTATGCTTTTCTTCCAGGAGGGAGTTAACAAACTGACAAGGGATGGGGGTGGGAAACAGGGGAATAGAGACTTCCATACAGCTTAGTTTTAGCCAGTATCTTAATTGGCGAATTTTCAAACAATGCTCTATAGGGGAAAGAGAACATTTGACATATAACTCAAAGGACACAAGGAATAGCACTTGCATATTTAGTCCAGGTTGCTTGCATGGCTCTTAAATCCTTGCATGCAGAGGGTTATGTGCCATTCAGCAAAAGGCTGAATATTTTGCCCTTGAAGAACCTTACAATTGCAGGAACAAAATAATTGTCTTTGCATGTAGGAAATCAAACTATTTCATTAGATCATCTTACGACTCAAATTATGACGATTTTTGTTTGGCTTTTCCAATGTAGGGAAGATTGGAAGATGATTCCCAAATATTTGAAGTCCTAATATTATTTATCTTCCAATTACGGTACACTTATAATTCCTGTGTCTCTTGGTAAACACAATAACTTTAGTTTTCATGTAAGTTCTTTGCTAGCTCTTGCACACTGTGCCTCAGGCCCCCTGGGTCAGAGATAAAATTATTGGATCATCAACATATAAAATTATACACATAGATTTACTTGACAAGAGCAGGGGATGGAATCTTTTTTTTTTTTTAATAGAGCTTATGTCATTGACACCTTTGAACTCTGGTGTTGGTGAAGACTCCTGAGAATACCGTGGACAGCCAAGAAAACAAATTTGTGGATCATTGAAAAAATCAACCCAGATTTCTTACTTGAGGCACAAATGACTAGACTCAAATTATCCTACTTCAGACACATTATGCAAAGACCCAGCTCTCTGAAAAAGGCTCTAATGCTGGGAAAGGTAGAAGGAAAGAGAAGAAGAGGATGACCAGCAGCAAGGTGGATGGACTCAGTTATAGTGTCAAAGAGTGCACTGTTGGAAGACCTGAAAGAACAGGTTAGGGACAGATCGTCATGGAGAAAATCTATGTGGTCGCTAGGAGTCAAAAATGACTTGATGGCACATAATCAGTGATGTCATTGAAACACTGTATTATTTCCATTTGTTTTCTAATATGCTGACACATAGCAAACAATAAAATAGGTATTTTTAAATAAATATAATAATTATAGCATAGTTGAGTATTTACTCAATTGAGTAAAGAGGTCTGTCTCTCAAGTTATTGTGGCCTACTCTGAGAGGAGTTTTCACCAGTCAAACTAGCATACGTTTGCTTTCTTTATTCCTTGGATAAGACAAAGAGAGTGGATTATGTTGATGATGATGATGATGATGATGATGATGATGATGATGATGATGAAGAAGAAGAAGAAGA